TCCAAATACCCTGAGAGAATCTGCTTCAATACAGATATAAAATCCACTCCAACCGCACACCCCTAGTTGTCACCCACCACCACATCGTGGAACCCATAGGGGGTAACATCAAATATCTACAACCCATACTGAAGGGGAACTCCATCCTTAAAGAAATCTTTCCTGAACTCCTCTTTGGGCCTTCAAACAAGCCCCTTACATCTCCAAGCTCATCATGAGAGCAGCTCCCCACGGTCCAGGACACGCCAACTCAAAGTGGCACCAAACCCTGCCAGAACAACAGGTTCAAAACCTGAAGACATATTCCACTGCTACACTGATCAACACCCCACAACAACACACCTTTCAGGATCCATGGGTTCTACTCATGACTATTACAACAAGCGGTATATCTCACTCAGGGCACTAAAATCCCCCAAAAAACTATGTGGGTGAAACCAGACAATCACTAAACTCTTTTATGAACTCAGACAGGAAAATGATAAAAGACAAAACACACTTTTCACAAAGTGATTACTCCATATCTGATCTGTCAGTCCTCAAAGGAAACTTGCACAACACCTTCCAAAGACGAGCTGGGATCTTAAATTTGTAACTTTGCCTGACACTGAAAATCATGATCTTAATAAAGAATCTGGATTTTATCGTTTATTACAACAATTGTAACCCATTTAACCCCCCTTTTTGGTCATTGACTACAGGGAGGTTAATGGGCCACGTCATCTTGAATGGACCATTAGAATATGCGCTATCCCTTATGCTAAACAATCTGTTTGATCTCGTATTTAGCTGTGATAATCTGAGTACCCTTCCCAGACCTGAAGAAGAGCTCAGTGTAACTTGAAAGCTTGTCTCTCACCAACAGAAGTTGGTCCAGTAAAAGATATTACCTCACCCACCTTATTATTTAAAAAGAACAGGAGTACTTGTGGCACCTTAGAGACTAACAAATTTATTAGAGCATAAGCTTTCGTGGACTACAGCCCACTTCTTCGGATGCATACAGAGTGGAATAAATATTGAGGAGATATATATATATACACACATACAGAGAGCATAAACAGGTGGGAGTTGTCTTACCAATTCTGAGAGACCAATTAAGTAAGAGAAAAAAAACTTTTGAAGTTTTTGAACTTATTATTTAAGTTACTTACCATGTTAACGTCATTCATACTGAGAAATGGATTTTTAAGGAAAAAAAGATGTATAGAGCAAGTGAAAATGAGCAGCCGTTCTACTAAATGTCACATGGTGCTCTGTCCTGGGGATTTTGGGGGTAATTAACCCTAAAGCTCACATTGTCAGTGAACAAGCAAACTACATGTGTGCCAACTGAAGGCTATATCTACACTACAGACCTTACATTGGCACAGTTGTACTACTACAGCTGCACTGCTGTAAGGTCTCCTGTGTAGTCGCTGGATGCTGGTGGGAGAGAGCTGTCCTACCGGCATAATTAAACCACCCCCAAAGAGTGGTGGTAGCTATGTTGGAGAGCCTCTCCTGCCAACATAGCACTTGTCCACACTGGCGCTTTTGCCAGGGAAACTTATGTCGGTCAGGGGTGTATTTTTTCACACTTTGACACACTGTCAGACTGCCTCACTACAGCAAAGAGCGAACCGTGATCTGTGGTATAATGTTATACTGTAATTAATTCATTGTTTGCCATCAAAAAGCAACATTTGCAGCAGATATCACACCATTCCCATGGTTATTTCCTACTCTAAGTATAGGGATGACTGTGGTATCTCAGAGATTACTGTTAGATAACAAATGGCAAACGTTGAATTTTAATGATAACTACTGAACCCAGGCCAAGGAGAAATGTTTAGCTTTATTCACAATGTTAGTTCTTACCGTAGATGAAACAACTATCAAACTTGCTCAGATGACCCTCAATTTTAAGAAGCTGATGACATTTTTAACCCTCCCCCTCAATCAAAACAATAGTTTGCTTGTTTTCAATTACTGCTGCCTTTGCTTGGGCTCTCAACAAAATCCCAGCACAGGCCAAATCACCTTCTTGTAGTCAAAGTATAAACCTTTCTCACAACTGAGCCAAATTTTCAAAAAGGGGCATCTACGGGTGGGGATAAGAATGATGGGTTTTGTGCATATCAATTCTATTAGCTGCTGTGCAAGTGACACACTCTATTGCCATTGTGTGTAAATGTTAGCACTCGAGTCGTTTGTGTGCAGAGGGTTGTGGGCACACAAGTGCAGGCTGGGTTGGGACTCTTTTGAAGATTTACTCCTATTGTGGCATATACGTATTCATCAGGACCGAAGCCACGGACAGCAGTAGCTATGCCAGATTCATTTTGGGTAGAGGTGGCTGATGGGAAATAAGCCCCTCCCCCAAAGGCTCACCAAATACCGGTGATTAATTGAGCATTTCCCCCTGCCTCTAATGCAATGTCTTCTCCAGGTACTGAAGCGCTAAAGGTCTCTCTCCAGAATTTCAGTTCACAGGGTCAGAGCCCCCCTGAATTCTAGCAATAGTGGGAGAGAAGGTTTCCTGGCCCCAAACAGATGGGCAGGCAGGAGGGAAGCTGATTCTCTCCTTATCATGGCTTAAATTCTCATAGATTATTTCCTGAGCCTCCCCATGGTCTCCCCTCTAACATGCTTTAAAAACTCGAGAGCACATGAGGGGTGGGGGGTGCCCTCAGAGCTCGAGGCTTGAGCCGTTGGGCTGGGGGAGGTGGGGAGCCTGGGGCTTCTGTGCTGCGGTGGGGTGGTGGGACTAGGGGCTTCTGCCCTGCGGAGCAGCAGGGCTCCGGGCTTCAGCTGCATGGAGGGGGATCTCGGGGCTTGAGCCCCGCGGGAGGCAGGATGCTGGGACTTGGGGTTTAAGCCCCAAGTGGGGGCAATGAAGGGACTCAGGGCTATAGCCCCACAAGGGGCACCGGGGCTCGGAGCTTCTGCCCTGTGGGGCGTGCCGGGGCCCAGGACTTCTGCCCGCTGAGAGAAACTGGGGCTCCCCGCAGGTTTGGAAATGTTTACCGGAGCTCCGCTCTGGACAGCTCTGGCTGAATTTAAGCCCTGCTCCTTATCATTTCTCACAGCTACCATGTAACCCAGGTATATTCCCATTATTCTCCCACTGAGGTCAATGAGAGTTGTGCTCACATATCCAAGATGCAAATTTGAGGTTTATTCTTTAAACCAGGCAGTAATGAAACTATTCTGCTTACATCAGTTCTCCTGACTTCAGCAAACATATCTCAGCGTCTTGGGCCACTTGCAATTCTTCTGAGTCATCAAAGGTCAACGAATTACATGTGCTGTTTCTATGGCAAAAGGGAAGAAAACTGTTATTAAATAATCTCTGAAACAGCACAACACAGACAAATAATCACCATAGTACCCTTTGCACACTTGCCTCCTATGGTAGATTATTTTCAGTTACTGAGGGACAAACTCGATCATCTTTACTATTTGTTATACAGCAGCACCTAGAGGCCCAGACCCAAACTGCAGTGCCAGTGTGCTAGTCACTGTACATACATACAGTAAGGGACAGTTCCTACCCCAAAGAGCCTGCAGTGCAAATAGAGAAGATAGGCAAGGAGTAGGAGAAAGGAATCATTGCTATCTCTGTTTTTACAAACGGGAAACTGAGGCACAGAGAAATTTAAGTGACTTGCCAGGAAGTCTGGACACTTCCAGTAATCAAGCTCAAACCTTGTCCCATATCCAATGCCTTACTTCCAAGACCTGTTTCCCCTGAGTAAGAGTGAGGAAACTCATAGTCAGAGTAAAATAATGAACTGTGTGGTACAGGTCAGATTCCTCTCTGAATGATGGTACTGTGAACCAAGAGATGAGTCCATCGAAATCAATCCAGTTACAGTTGGGTGACAGGAGAACCCCTAGACAAGACTGAGCACAACAACAAAGTGGACAAGGGCTGCAAGATATTTAGATATTTAATGGAAGACGCAGCATTTACCAGCAGACAGGTAAGTCTATACTGATACCAGCTTCACTCGTCTTGATGTTCCTGCACCACAGCTCTCACCTCCCTACTACGCACATGGTCATGAAAACATTCTAATGTCCAGTTTCTTAGCGACCGTTTTTACTGTGCTTTGAAGATGTAGGATAAAAACCTGTGCAAGCAAGAAGTGAACTTGTCACCATGACTAAAGACTCTGAGATAGAAAGTCTGCTCCGGTAGGGATGGGGGGAGGGAGGGAGAAGATTGTGGTGACAACAACCTCCCCACTTCAGGGGGCCAGCACAGTATCAAAAGTGGATGCCACTGTCCAGAGAGCATGTGAGACCAGGGTAGTTGGGGAATACACAGATTCAGTACATCTCCTCAGCAGCCTTTGTGCATGGGTTTCCTGTGGAGCTGCGGGCAGATTTCAAAGCTGCCCTCCTACCCTGACAGAGGGAAGTGAAATTGATACTGGATCTGGACTGCAAAGTGTTCTATAAATGTGTCATTATTCTGACAATATCACTCAAAATGCTGGTCCATGACAGAATACTTTTACAAGAAATATCTTCATGATAAAACAGCAAAACTTCTGCACCTATTGGAAATTGTGAATGAACCAGGAACAGGAATATATTGAACATCAAATTATCATAGACTCAACCCTCCCACCCCCATATGCATCTCTCCATTACATGCTACAGTGAGTGGAGTGGAAGACCTCATAGTTTGTGCAAAAAGTGGTGCAGTAAGGGAAGTAAAGCCTCTGCATCAATTTCACTTATCGGAGTAGCCTGTGAAATACCGGGCTGGGGGCTGTAGAGAGGCAGAGGAAAAGGAGTCTGAAAGCAGCCTGTCTGCACCATGTTCCCCACTGAAAGTCATGGAACACACATGGACAGTTCCCATGTAAGTTAATGCTACTCTAAGATGTATTAACTTTGCCTACTTACTCCATTGCCTCCATCAGAGGTGTTACAGGAGCCAACAGTAACGTGCCAACTGAGGCAGTTATGCTGCCATTTTTATGGGAAAATCCTGTAGATTTTAATATGTAAGAAATTAACAGGGTATTATAGACATTTCTGCAAAAACTTAAAAAATGTAATAGAAGTTACATTATAACATGATCTCTCTTTATGGTTTTCTGAACCATGCTACAGAACTGTATAGCAAGGATTTCATTCTCTCAAACACTCTATAGGCCAGTTCCAAACAGCTATAGAAAAGTCCATTTTCTATGAAATTCTATAGCACTTTACGATAAGGAGGATGATGGGAGTTAAGGCTAGCAGCAGTGCAGAGAAAGCAGCTAAGTGCAACAAACCCCACCACAGGTCATCAGCGCGTATGAATGTGTCAACTTCACCAATGCACAGACATCCACCACTTTAAAGAAGGAACTCCACTAGCGAGAAGTGGTAGTAGGTTTTTATCTTCACGATGGATTAAACAGTAGAGGGGCAACACTGTCAGGAACTCAGGTGGCTCCTTGGGTTGCTAGGTGACCCTGCAATGAGCTTAGCTTGGCCCAGGGAGTGACTGTACTCTCTGATTAGACAGAAGAGCCAACAGATCTCTTTTAAAGTCTGATAGCAGCAGCAGCACAGTGTCTGTTCAATGCGTTCCATGCCTGCAGCTGCACCAGACCTGCTTCTTGTACCAGCCTTTGTTCTAACCAGTGCCTCTCCCTGCTCCTGCCCTAGTCCCTGCCTTCCTCAGAACTCCTGATTCCTGACTCCAAGCACTGGATAGTCTCTTGACTACGACACCTGCTCTGCACTTTGGTTCTGTTCTGGCTCCCGACTTCTGTCTCTGACCATTGGCTTGTCCCCTGGACACACCTCCTGATCTGCTCTCGGATTCTGCTCTGACCACTAGGCCAGACTCCTGTTCCGACCACTAGCTTGCAACACCTACACCGGGGAGTGTAGCAGTTTGAGCAGCCCAGTAGACTGTAGGAGGGGCTTTCGCCCCATAGCCTGGAGCTCCCCTACAGAAGGGCAACTGCAGGAGTCCAATCTGCCTTTTGGACATTGTTGTGGAACTGCGGGCTCAGGTCACAGAATTCAGTGAGCAGAATGCAGCCCTGCAGGCCCAGTACAATACCAGGGATTGTCTTCTGTCCCTGCAATTCTCACATCCACTTTCTAAATGACCAAGCTGCTTCTACCTGACAAGTTCAACAGCTAGTATGCCAAGTTTCATAGGTTCCTTAACCAATGTCATCTCCAGTTCATGTTACAGCCACATTTGTACCCCACAGATCAGTAGGATTGGTACTAATCTGCTCACCACAAAGGCCCTGATGTGGGCATCCCCACTCCTGAAGGGGTCCAGCCCTCACTTTGAACACTTGGACTACTTTGTACAGGCAATGGCAGGTGTCTTCGATAGCCCTAATTGAGAACGTACTGCAGAAGCTGCTCTCTAAGCCCTCTGGTCTGTCACCAAATATGCAGTGGGACGCTGATGTCTGGCTGCAGATCCCCACTGGAATGAGGCTGCCCAGAAACACCACTTCAAGCAGGGCCTCAACAACTCTATCAAAGATGAATTAGCACAGGTGGAACCTCCGCCTCGCCTGGGATCCTTAATTGGTCTGTGCATTAGGACTCATGATTGGCTAACGAAGCGAGCCCATGGAAAATGACACCCCCAGGGCAGAATTCTTCTGTCTCCTGGGGCCCCAGTTGTCCTGCCAGACCCTGAACCAATGCAAGTCGATCTGCCTAGCCCCACCTCTCTGCCGATGAAAAGAATCATAGTCGGGCATTGGGGCTATGCTGGTACTGAGGCATGTTGCAGACAAAGACTAGCCCACCTCCGGGTGAGGAAATGCCTGAGCCGAGCCCCAGTAAGGGGCAAGAGTTGGGTCTGCGCTCCACTCCTATCCTCAGCAAATCACACTGCTGCTTGGCCACCAGAATTTGGCAGCCCCTAGTACACATGTCAAGTGGGCTGGAAGAAAGCAGACATTACAACAGCTTGGACTAGCCTCCCTGCCTGGCCTTTACTCTGTACAGCAGAGCCCCTGTGGAAGGACAAAACAGGGCCTCCCACAGCGGGTGCAGGACATGCTCCCATGCGCTCCAAGCCAGATGAACTGGCCAGTGTAGCGAGGTCAGGACTATGGCTGCAACTCATTTGTTTTCACCCTTCCCTCGGGCTCAGTTGTTCTCACCAGTGCCCGTGGAGGGGGCAGCCATGGCACTGGGCATTTCTGGTTTGTCCTGCATTAGCTGCATTAGCTGCTGTATGAGCAGACAGATGCTAACAGGCAGAAAAACATTCAGGCATCAGGGATCCAACCACTTACCCCAAAGAGGGGGGAGGGGAAAGACTAAGAACATCCTTTGTGCAGCATGAAGAAAACATCAGGGTGTGGCTTACTGGAACTCCAGGTGAGGAGAGGGGTTGGTTTGCCTCATTTATGAGGCTGCAACCGACTCAAGCCACAGATAAATAAAGGCAGCCACAGATTCATACAACCCAGAATCCTGGAGCCATATGCCCTCCTAGACTCGCACTGAATGACAAACACTTCCCAGGAGTTGCTAAAGTCCTAGGAGCACATGTTCACCTGGGGCCACCAGTGCAGTGACTGACAGACTGACTCGATAAGGAGCTACAGCCGCTGGTAAGTGCCCAGTTCTCTCCCATCCTCTCCCTGGCATGAGGGTTAAGAGTTTTCTGTTTATTTTCCACATGCTGCTGCAGTGGAGATGAGTCTCTGTGACACACCACCTCTCTTGGCGAGCAGTAAATTCAATTTTTAACTCATCCTTTTGTAACGACTATTTACTGTTTCCTTTAAAATATTTACTGTTAAAAGTAATTGCTGGGGTGCCCAAGGCTGCTGCAGTCAGCCCAGCCAAGCTACCCCTGTGCACCCCAAAAGGATTTACAGTGACATTTTGGAAATGGATACTAAGAGCAAACAAGGCAATCACGAGCTAAATGACTTCACCGGGTTAGACACATTTTTCTTGCAATTATCCCCGGTGCACATCAGTTTCAGTGGGATTACTACGAATCACCACCAGTGTGATTGAGATTCGAAACTGGCCCTCCGAAAATAATTTTGTCAATTACAGCTCACTTGGGAGATTCCCACTTGCTCAGAAGCTTTTGAACAAACAAAATGCAGCAGAGAGAGGACACAATGTTTAATTTTGTCTCGGGTAAGGACAGATAGTAATTGGAAAGGGTCACATCACACTTCTAGTTGTTTAATTGACAGGATTCCCACTGTGTATTTTCTTTCAAACCGCAGAATTGCAGACAAGCATCCAAAAGGGGATCAAATTGATCATGATGAAGTAGTTGGTTCTGATTGACTTAACA